AGCGCCTGGGCCGAGCAGGGGTACAGCGACTGCGCCAGGCTCTTGACCTGCGCCATGAAGCTGTCCATGTTGCCCTCCACGGCGGTGAAGTCCAGCGGGAAGCTCTCGGCCGCCGCCGCCGCCGCCTCGCCGCGCTCGCGGGCCGCCGGGCCTCGCCGCCGCCAGCCCTTCCTGCCCTCGCCGCCGGGCCCGGCGTGCAGCAGCCCCAGCAGCAGCAGGAGGTGCACCGCCGCCGTGCCCATCGCCGCCCGCCGCCACCCGCCGCTCGCCGCGGCGGCAGCAGCAGCAGCCAGCCCCCGGCGGCGGGCAGCGCCGCCCGCGCTCCGCCGCGCCCCGCCGCGCCACCCGCGGGGACGGGGGTCGGCGGCGGGCGGCGAGGGCAGCGCCGGCGGCGCGGGCTCGGCGGCGCGGCTGCCGGCACAGGAGCCCGCCGCCCGCTCCCAGGCGGCGAGCATGACAGAGGGGCACGGAGTGCGCGGGGAGCGCGCCGGGGGCGCCGCCAGCCCGGGCGCCGCGTGGGGCAGCAGCCGGCCAGCCCCCGCCCTGCCCTGCCCTCCGCCCCCTCGGAGCGAGGGGAGGGAGCGGGGGGTCTGCGCCGCGCCGCACCGGCACGGCGGGCCGCTCCGTCGGGGCGCGCCCCGCGCCCGGCCGCGACGCCATCGCCGCCCCTGCCGGCGCCGGGGCCGCGGCGGCGGCAGCGGCGGCCTCCAGCCTCACCCGCAGGGCGGCGGGGGCCCGGGGCGGCCTCTCGCCGGGGCCGGGGGGGAGGTCGGGCCGCCTGGGCGCGTGGCCCCGCACGTGGCGGCCCCCACGGCAGCGCCCCCCGTTTCCCCCCTCCCCCCTCCTCCCCGCGGCCTCGACGGCAGCTCCTCCCCGGCTCCGCGTGGGCGGCACTGCCCGCCCCGCCCCGGGACGTGCCGCCGCCGCTCTGCCGGCGGGGCTCGGCCCTGCGCCCCCCGGCCGCCCCGGTGCGGGGCCTTCCGCGCCGGCCCGGGGGTGGGCCGCGGAGCCGGGCTCCGGCCTTGCCCCAGTTCGCAGGGCGCAGCGGGAGGCCGGTCATTTGGCCCCAGACATCGGCGTCCGGTCCGCGTAGCTCCCGCGGGTGACCGGGGCGGGCGGCGGATCGCGCCCGGCCGGAGGATGCTGGTGCCGAGAGCGGGAGGGGGCGCGGAGGCCCCGGGCCGGTCGGGGCGCGGCGGGCCCAAGGCGGGGGGTCCCGGGCCCCCTGCAACCCCCGGCCGACGGCGCGGCTTTCGCGGAGGCTTCGCCTTGGTGCTCTCGGCAGCTCACGAGGTTTACCGCCGCCGGCTCTTCCCGGTTGTTCCCGGGGGCCCCGGACGATTCCACTGATTGCAAGAAGAATCCCGGAGAAAAAGCCCTGTTGTCACCAGAGTGTCGGTCGTCTGAGAGAGGGGGAATCCATGGAAGTGCTGCCCTTATCTCAGACCTTGGAATTGAAAACCGAGGAAAACCAGAGATAATGCTATGCTTTAAGTTATTGATGTAGGTACAAAATGGGACAGCTCATGCTCTTTGACAGCCCTCCAGAAAGGAGCAGGGAGGCTGTCTTTACTGGGAAATATAATCTATCTGGGATCAGAAAAGGTGAAAATAGTACAGTCTTAAAATAGCACGTGGAAGGGCTTTTTGTCAAGCAGGACTTCGGGCTGTCTAGCTGCTGCAACTATATTTTTTACCTTATCATATTTGGGCTTTCTGAGTGTGTCCTCAGCTCTCTTTTTCCTACACACGTAGCACGTTGTTTTGGTTTGCTTGCCACGTTGGGGATTTTATCTTTCAGTTACTCTTACGTACTCTCAGTTTTTGCTCTGTCCTCACTCAGATTTTTAAAACCTTCAAATGTTTCATGTAAGTGCTGATATTACCCATGGTAACTTTATAGCCAGGAATAGCCATTAAATTGACCACACCCCTCCACAAATGCACTATATTTACTCCCTGATAGGTGTGTGGTCCTAGTAGGTTCCTATATTATCATCTCTTTCCCTACACTGGACTAAACATCCTTTCTTCACTGGTTGTGCCAGGTCTGAGCAATGGATCACTGGGACTAGCTTCCGCAAGTTGCAGAGCTCATTGGTCAGCCGGAGCGTAGCTGCAGCTGCAAACTGCTCTGTTGGTGCAAAATCTGAACAGATAGAGCAGTAAGTCCTCAGAGTGCTCCAGGATCGCTGGAGCAGTTGGCATAAACAACTCCAGTACCTCATAGTCCAATAGCTACAGCAAGAAACCAGGAGGGATAAGATTGCTGAACTCCATCCTTCAGAGAAAAGCTGCCGTGCCTCCTGCTGCTGAGCTTGTGTTCCTTCTGGTGCCTGTGCTCCTTCTCTCTGTGGAGGGCTGAATCCCTGCACTCCATTAGGCCTTGTACCAGCTGGTGCATTAAGAGAGGACTTAGTATCATGCACCAGGGAAGAACCTAGGTGCAGAGAGGAATATATGTTAAAGTTGCAGACCTTTGTCCCAAGAGGTGATGCAAAAAAATTTAAATTTTGCCTGGCTTGTCTTTACTGAGCCCGCCTTAGCTTTATTAGCTCTGGTTCAGGTCACTTAGGACGGGTCTTTCAGAGCACTCTTGTTATCCTTCCAAAGCTCAGTAAAATGTTTTATTACCTGCCATGGCAGAGCAAGGGGCTGTGAGGAAGAGTGTAAGGCTGTAGGAGGGTCTGGCATGACAGACTTTGACTTCTAGACATTTAAATCTGGTACCGTTCAACTTCTTGACATACTGAACTTGAGAGAACATCAAAGTAATACAGATTTTAGAGAAGGTTATAACACTGTCCTTCAGCATGAGGGTTTCAGTGAGTTTTAATCCTTTGATAAGAGACTGCCTACATTGAATAGATGAGGCTCAGAACAAAAGGAAGCTCAGAGAGAGCTGAAAGAATTGGAGTCCTGCTCCAGGCACTCAAGATTGGGCATTTTTATTGGTAGGAGTGAGGCATGTAAGAGGCAAGCAAGAAACTTTTAACGATTGGGAATAATGTCAAGGGAGATGCTGTTTTCGTTTAATACCTTCCAAAGTGAAATGTCCTGCATAATGTATTCCACTATGTCCCAAGATAGTTCTATATGTTCAGTATATTGGACTGTGCTATGCAAAAGCTTATGAGACAGTTCTGAGTTCCCTCATACCCTGCCAGGACCAAGGCAGGCCCAGCACTTGCCCTTTGGGTGTTTCCCTGTCAGGAATCAAGAGGGTTACACCTGGAGTCCTCTGTAAGGCCTCATGCCATGGGTATGGTTCCCCTTTGTAGCCAGGTCTCAACGCCTCATTTGAGCCACTCTGCAGCCTGGCTCAGTGGAAGTTCTCTGGTTTGTTTCTTGGGTCTTGTGTTGATCAGAAGAGTGTGTGTGTGTGTGTGTGTGTGTGGCGTCTGTTACCCCATAGAACAATACTCCCCAACAGGAACAATCCTACTTTTGCACAGTCATGCTACCGCTGCCTCCTCTGACCCTGGGGCTGGGAGGTGTAAAGCACTCTGGGAGAGCAGCAGAGCCCGCTCATAGCCTGGGTACGAGTGTGACGTGCTGGGCGATGCTCGGGTGAGAACTGAGCATTGAATGTCTCCAGGACTCTGTGCAGTCAGTGACGTTTGTACAGGCAGCAGGAAACACTTTCCAGAATCATTATTACTGTGATAAGTAGCTTGTTCTGCATCATGTTTTGGAGCTGGTTACTACGTGTTTCTGGATGTTCACAGCTAATTTCCTATTCGTTTTGAAAGAAGAAAGAAAAAAAGTGGGGAGAGGTTTTGCTGCTTTATGAAGAAGCAAATGTGTGTTACTCCCTGTGTGCCTGTGACTGAATGCAGAAACAGACGGTGCCAGGGCTACATGTTGAATGCAAAGCACCAGCTGCCTGAAAGGTGGGATTAAGGAAGGTCATTCTGTGGTGTGTTCACTGTAATTACTAAAGAAATGCAATTTATGAGAAGTTTTTGGAGGACATTGTTTGGCTGAGGCTCACCTGATAGATTTGCAGGCATCCTTCAGCCAGTGGCAGAAATCTGAATTAAGAGTGTTTTCAGCCATTCCCTAATGAGTTCCTCTTTCTTTGTGGCACTTTAATGAACTCCAGGTTGTAGTTACCTCCCTCTTCTTTCTCTCCTGATGCTTCTAATTTCAGATAAATATTTGAGATTAGAAGTGGCTCTGGGTATGAAATGTGACCCTTCACCTCCATGCAACTTTCTGATTATGCCATGCCATTAATAACCAGAGCACCTCTAATCCTGCAACTTGGAAGTGTTCAGCTCAAATTACATTGGTATCTTTTTAACAGGAGCAACATTTCTTTAAGAGATGTGTCACTTCCAAATACAAAATAGGAAACAGCTGCCTGCTTCAGACATCAAATAGGAGCTACCCCCACCCAGAAATGAGACCAGTGTTTTGGGCTATGTAACCCAAAATGCTTCTTTTAAAATGGAATGGCTGCTCTGCCTGAGCAGCAGGATAATCACTGCAGTTAAGAGAGCCATCTTAATTGCTTCTTCTCCTTCATACCTTCTGTAAAGGTATTAATTAGTGGAAGAACAGGATATCTTCATTATGTGTGAGATGCTAGAAGAGCTTTGGATCTCTGCCCTATTTTAAAGACTAAGAAGGACTTGAACATTGTAGATATTTGTTGCACCCTTTTTTAGGCAAAAGTGTGTCAACTTTCAGAACAATCTTGCCCTTAAGTCTTCACGTATTTTACAGCAAAAGGCAATTGAAAAGATAGGGAATTATATAATATATCCTGAACACTTTATAAGTGCTATGGCAATGATACTGCCCAACGGAATGGAAAGAAAAAACATAAAGATATTTTAAAGCATTGTTTTAAACACTATAGACCTGGGCATCCTTTATTATTATTGCTACATCTCACTGAACAGTTAGAGTGAATCCATGTATGTAAGAAAAGAGATCTCTCTTCGTCATTAAAATTTCCATCCACTCTTCTTTCCCTTTCTCCCACACTGCTGATATGGTAAAAACAAGCGTTATCTCTTACAAAAGCGTCTTTCCTTAAAAGGATCTTTTTCCTTTATAAGCCAAGCAAAGCAGACATTTTTGTGGGTGCTGGGGGGTAGCAGTGAGGACTTAAGCTTAACATATATGATAAATATAGAAGTAGAGAAAGTATTTGGCATGTGGTTACAACTTAGGCTAAATAAATTCCAGTGGTTACTCAAACTAAAAAGTTGGGGTTTTTTATGATAGCAAACAAAACAGACTGTCATTGAATCTGAGAGTGCCTTTGACTGAAGAAGGCCTTGCTGAGACTGAAGGAGAAGTCCATAAATGAAATAAAGTCTCTGGGAAATTTTGTATTGTAATATGTATGATTATTTCTGTTCCTTGGGTGTAGCCATCTCACCTAACCAGCTGACTTTGCAGCAGCACTGGCCATGAGGTTTCCAACCAACTTTTTTATCCTTTTTTTTGGCGAGAATAAATGGCTTTCAAGGGCAGCAGGATGCTGTGGTTGGTCTGACCAGCGATGCCCTGATTGTTACACTGCCTGGACACTCCCGTGGCGCTGGGAACGCGGCAGGACGCTCCCCTCTGACATGCGGGGTTCGCCAGGGCTGTTATTTGGCCCAAGAGAACCTTCCTTGTAGGCGCAGGGATCTTCGGTATCCCTGCTCGGGAGAGAGCCAGGAATCCGTCAGCCCAAGGGAGTTCTGGCCACCAGCGGTGCCCGGGCCCGCGCTGCCCGCGGTGCTGGCAGGGCCGATGCGTTCGGTCCGGGGTCACCCCTTACGCTGCCGGGGGGGTGTCCCGGTACGACGCGGAAATGTTTTATTTCCTCGGAGCAGGTGACTGATCCCGACATTGGAAACCCAAGGGGCAGCGCAGCGCCGTCAGCCACGGCGGGACGTGCGGCCGCTCCCCTCCCGCTCCCCGCGGAGCTGCGGGCCCGGCCCCGGAGCCGCCCCCACCACGGCCCAGCGGGCAGGGCCGGGGGTCGCCCCCGCCCTTCGCCGGGGGAGCGGCCCGAGCCGCCCCGCGTCTGCCCTGCCAGGGGCCGCTGCTGCCCGAGCCCCTCGCGCTCCGGGAACCGCCGCCCGTCGCGGGCGGATAGCCCCGCTCCGGCCCCGGCTCCGCCAGACCGGGACTCGCCCGGGACACGCTTCCACAGCCACCCGGCCGGGCCGGTTCCCCCCGCTCCGCTCCCTCGCGGTCCGGGCGCGGCGGGGCGGGCCCGCAGCAGGACGGCCCCGGGCCGGCTCCGCCCCGGCCGCGCGGGTCCGGCGCTGGCGGAAGATGGCGGCAGCGGGTGGGGGCGGCGCCGCGGTGTCGGTGCTGGCGCCCAGCGGGCGGCGGGTCACGGTGCGGGTGGGGCCCGGCACGGTCCTGCTCCAGGTGGGTCCACAACGGGGAGGGCGGGGCGGCGGGGCCGCGGGCCGGCCGTGACGCTTCTGTTCTCTCCGCAGGTCCTCGAGGAGGTCTGCAGGAAACAGGGCGGCAGTCCCGGCGAGTACGGCCTGAAGTGAGTCTCGTCGCGGAGCCGGGCCCGGGCCCGGCTGCCCGCGGCCCTGGGAGAGGCCCCGCCCGCCGGGCCGGGCCGGGCCTGGCGCTGCCGGAGTCCGCGGCCCGCCCGGGGGTGTCCCGGGCCCGGCGGACCGGCGGCGGGCGGTGGCGTGCTGGGGGCCGGGCCACACACTGAGGGTCAGGTCAGGGCCTCCCGATGGCCCCGTGCCACGTTCCGCTGACGGGCGGCGAGGCCCCGTGTCACTGCCGCGGACACGGCCCCACGCGCGAACCTCACCCAGGTCACACAGTGGCAGCACCCGTCTCCCCTCTTACCTGGGGGTTTGACCCTCTGCCTTTATGGTGTCGTAATTGAGAGGCCATTTCTCTGAGTGGCACTAAAACAAGAGTATCTTGGTATTTAACCAGGCTTGGTTATGTAGTCAGTTGTTATTTATCTCTTTAAAGCCTAAGACAAAACATACATTTGAGTATTTTCCCTGTGACCTCTACAAACTGCGGAATAGCTTTTGTTGACGATTGTTTTCTGAATTACCAGTTGTCCATTGTTGAATCGTGTTCAATGGCTTCTAGTCAGCCTCTGGGGAATTCTCTTGCTCAATACCTGGACTTTGTATTGTTCAAAGACTATGTTCTCCTTCAGGTTTCAGAGGAGTGTTTTGGACCTGTCCTTGCAGTGGAGGTTTGCCAGGCTGCCCAACAATGCCAAGCTGGAGATGGTGCCAGTCACTAACAGAGCAGAAGCTGGAACCACGGTATGTTTGTTTATGCACTGTGACCTGATTTGTTGAGTTACCAGTTCTGCTGATATGATCCTATCCTATCTCAAGAGCGAGAGCACAGCTCAGTGTGGCCAATGCCTGTGCAGGAGACCAGCTGAAGACAGGTTGAAGTGCAGTGGAAAGTGGTGATTTAGTAGTTGAAAGTCTTTGCTTATGTTCTGCATGAGCATGTGGTGCCAACTGTGTGTTGGAGGAGAACGGGTTCATTTGGGGAGCTGAAAAACTAGTAGTCGTGGATGCCTAGGAACTTAAGCATCACTGATGACTAACTCAGTTCCCTTTCCTAATTTCAGTTTCAGTTGCTGTTGTCTACCTCTGGATTTTGAATTCTCTTTTGCTGCTTTCCCAGCATTGCTGGTCATGGTGTGTTCACACAGCTTTAGAGTCTTTTGTTACATGTGCTGTCCCCAGCAGTGGCCAAATGTCCCTATTTAGTATGATTGGAAAAGGGCTTATGGATGCTGTGTTCTCTAGGAATTATTGCCACATTTAGGAGTGTAAAAATCTATACGTGTCACTGTAATGGCTGGAGGCATAACTGTTAAAGTGACGCATAGGTGTTAATGTGTGTGAACTTTTTATGTCATAAAAGTGATGTATGGTCTTATTTAAGTAGCCTAGGAATGAAAATTTGTCTATTGCTGACAGTCATTGCTGACAGTCATCGCTCTTCTTTCTGACTTCCTCAGGGGGAGTTTCTCAATTTTTATGAAAGTTTCAGGTCTATTGGTTTTGATCTCTTAATGTCTGTCAGCCAAGCTGACAAATTAGTGGTGTTTGTTGTAGGCAGTTGCTCTTGCTGTCACAGAGAGAAACTGATATGTTGAAATGTGAACTTTGTGTTGTGAGGCGGCTTTGGAATCTCTGCTCTAGTTCACTGTGGGTGTGCAATGTACTTTTAGGGGTCACTGATGTTGATGTTTTTCTCTGTAAAACCTCCATGTTCTTTGTTTTGGCACTAATGCCTTCTTTCTGACTTTGTGGTAGAAAGAAGTTTGTGCTTCAAATGACGTCTTTAGTTAAAAAAATACCACAAACTGGGAGCATCTGCTTAAAATTTTCAGTGAAAGATTGTGATGGAATGGGGTTTGTCGTCCAGAGGAAAGTGTTTCTGTTGAAATGGTGCAGTGATGACTTTATCTGACATTTGTGTCCAGCTGGGAGGTTGAGAGGTACTGAAGGAAAACAGTGATTTTATTTTTTTCCCCCCAAAGTTATATTATGAGAAAGGGTAAGAAGGACTGTGCACTGTAGGAGAGAGGTTATAGCATGGAATCACTAGTTTAGATCCCAAAAGAGAAGAGCTAAAAGAAGTGTAAGTTGTTACTATTTAGTTGTAGTTCAGCAGAAGAATCTACAGAAATGAGTCTTCTCTCAGAGTGCTCATTGCTTTGTCCTGGGGGTGAGAGGATGCAGCAAATGCGTGTGTGAAGGGTGGAGCCTGAACAGAGTCACTGTCCCACAAATTTGAGCAGAGATTCCACTTGGGAGAATTTCACAGTGTAAGAAAAGACTTGGTACAGAACAATTGACTAAAAGAATTCCCTGTCACAGGGAGCATGTGCCAAAGACTAAGGAGTTTAAAACAGCCAGGTGGCTGTGACTGGGCTGTGGTGTCAGTTGAGATGCAGAGTTGGTCATTTTGGCTGGCTGCAGTAATGTTGGGATGAATCTGATTCTGTGTCTTCTATTATTCTATCTTCTGTTAAGATAATGTGGGTGGAAGTAGGTGTGCTTCCCTCTGGTGACAGCAGTTACCCTGGAAACAGAATACACGTTTTGATAAATTATGAGTTTGTTCAGCAAATTTGATATTTTAAAAATAGAAAGCTTTTGGATTTGCCTTTGCATGTAGAAAACATTGTTTCCCATAAGACAGTTCTTTAGTGAAAAATGGAACAATTTCCACTTGTGATGGCAGGTGACCATGAGTTCAGCTCTTGTGTTAAAGTTGTCAGCCTTTTGTTTAAATGTTTGTAAACTTAGATGGTAATTGTCACTGGTCTCTATTATTTTAAGTAGTGCTTGGGGTCTTTAAAGAGACTTTTCTAATTGACTGAATAGAACTTTAGTGACATGTTTAGCTTTGAACTGTCGCTCAACAACTGATGCAACTGGTAGTCTGAGTTTCTGGGCTGGATTCTTACAGAATGGTGATGTCAGCTGTCATCACTCTGCTGTTGCTGAGAATAATCTAAGGCTTGTCTCCCACGTAGGAGAAACCAGGAGGTTGTGTTAGTGGTGAGATGAAACGACATTGTTCTGTTGGCTCATTGTTAATGATGCCACTGTTTCCTTTATGTAGAAAAATTCCTGTCTCCAGCAGATCAACATTTGCAGTCCTGTGAGGATTGGTGGGAGCTGAGGCAGATGACAAACATATTCCTCTGCGGAAATCACAGTCGATTGCTGGAGTGTGTGGTGTCTGTTTTCCCATCTCCCTCTCTTTCTCTCCCCCTCTGCCCTCCTGCTTGCACACACATCTTGCACTCACAGTGAAGCTGACTAAAAGTGTTGGTAGGGACATGTGAAAACACAGAATGAAAGAAAGTGTCTTTGGCTGTCCTGGGCTAATGTCTTTCTCAGGCTTTGGAAAAAGGCCAGTTTCTGTGGACTTCAGAAAACTGTAGTTGACTGGAGAAACCAGGTTCCATCTAGTGGCTGTGGTTTTTTTTAGGATTTTTCTTTAGGCAAGTGAACTAATTGGGAAAACCTAAGAGTTAGACATTCTGGAGAAGGCTTAATATTCTCTAAAAGGTAAAAAAACCCCACAAAACCACGAACACCTGAAGTGCACTGCCATTCTCCATCTCTTGGTCAGCTGCTAGACTTTTCTCTTGAGATAGTCAGGAGTTTAAGTTCTTCAGGACTGAGCCCAGCATGTGTTCATTTTAGAAATACTTTGGATTTTTTTTTTTTGAGAGAAGTGGGGAAGCAGTTCTCTGAAGTGCATGTAGCACCAGCTAATGAACATGGATGTTCACATTCCAGGTCGGAGAAAGTCTGTTAAAATAGGCGGCTAGCTGGCCCTTGCCTTTTTCTGCAGGTGTTCAAGAACTTGATAACTGAACATCCAGAATTATTTTTGAGATTTTTTTGCTACTTCACTCTCATATTGCATGTCAAAATTTGGTGATTAGAAAGCATCAGTGAGTTGCAAATGTTGTTTTGTTGGACTGGTAATGGTTGTTTAGGTCTTCAGGAATGCAGGGATCTATGGGGACTGTATTCATGCTTTCTCTGTGTGGATGTGCAAGTACTCTGCTTGTTTTGCCCCAGGGAAGTTGTTCTGCAAACTGACGCTGAAGTGAACAGAGCTCTGTGTTGGTATTTTAAGTTGTGCAGCTGCATCAGTCCTTTCTGCCTTACTGGTATTTGTTTTATGTAGGTGTGAAGATCCTTTCTGTAAAGTTTCATGTGGTGTAAAACAGAACATCTTAGTTGCTCATGATGACACATTATTTGGGATGTTTGCACTGGCTTTTCTCTGAACATGTTCCAGTTCAAGATATGACAGGGAAGAGGGGCCCCTGAAAGCTGGTTAGTTTTCCAGGATGGCCTCCCCCATGCTCAGGAGAAGTCCATCCCAACAAACTGGAATTCAGGCCAGAATGCCTGCACATATGGACAAGGAGCACTGAAATACTTTAAAAAGTTGTGAAGAAAAAAAGTTTTCATTCAATTTTCAGATGAATTCACTGTGTTTTTCCAATAGGTTCGGATAGCATTACAACTAGATGATGGCTCCCGTTTGCAAGACACCTTCCTCTGCCAACAGACTCTGTGGGAACTTCTCAATCATTTTGCAAAAATCAGGTGAGCAATGCAGTGAGAAAATTCTTGTTTAGATGGATCTCTGCATGGCAGTAGTTACTTGTTGTTATGGTGATCCAGCTGAATCCTTCAGATTTGTAGAGTTTGCGTTATTTGACTGTGGTTTCTCCTTTATTACCTTTATTGCCTTTTCCTTGCTCTTTCAGATTTGACACTCCATAGTTTTATTATTATTTTTTAATCCTGCAGTAGCACTCCTGATTCGGGGCATAGACTTGTAACAAACTGCTAAAGCTGTGAAGCAGCTATACTAAACTGGGATATGTTGCCCCACCTGCCTTTTACACAAACATGTTTGAAGTCAAGTTACTGCCAGAGGTGAGGTGCCAGCCTGGATGATCTTGATCCCCAGTATTTCTGTGCTGCAGTTCCCTGTAGTGCAGGTGGTTCTTAAACGAGTTGCTGTTGCTTTTGAGGCTTGCTGTTGTGCAGGTTCTTCAGGGAAATCTGGAGCTCTCAGCAGGCTAATCTGGAATCTCCAAAAGACTGATTAGATCCTGCTTAAATGGAAGAATTTATGGTTCTACATTTATTGAGTATGTACATGGGTTAGAAATCTTATTATTTGAGTCCAGTCTACATTCAGTGTTTTCTCTTGAGTTTTGAATTAGAAACACTGTATTGTTTTGAAATGTCGAGCTGATAAACTTTTCTCAAAGAAAGACAGTTCTTTTCTCACGGCTTGGAAGATGAAGCCTCGAAGCTGTGACAGCCATTCTATTTTTAATTGTTAGGGACTAGGTCTACACTGTGACTTATGAGTAGAAGTCAAAAGGAACCATTTTCATGTAAATGCTAGAGAGAAAAGAATTCTTTTAATTGAGGAAAGAGGTAGGCCAGAAAGCCCAGATATGATTTTCCTAAGTGTTTTAAGTCCCCTCGTGTCCCTTACTACATCCTTTGTGCCCTCTGGGAGGAGAGGAGTGCCTGTTGCAGTTTGGGGACTGCTAGACTGGTGGGGGTGTTAATAATTGACAGTGACAAATAGCCTTTGTGTGGCTTTCTCAGACATTAGTTGACTATTTATTCA